GCACTGCTAACTGGTTGGACAGGTTGAGTTGGTGCATGGTTGGATGACACTGGTGGTACAGGAGTGTAAGGCAGGGAGAATGTTGAAGGTAGACTGCTGCCATGTGTTGGTGTTGGTTGGGTTGAAACAGTCTTATCCTCCTCCTTGAGCGATAACTTTTAGGAGCGAGAGCTCTGGATCCCGTCAGAGATAGCTCCAACAGCTATGCTGGCCTACAGCTCCAGCACCCGCAGCTGGCTTATCTCCAGCCAAAGCAGCAAGAAAGGATCGTCCTTTCCACCATAGTTAAGAAAATAGTACGAAAGATTGAGACCGATCCTGATTAGCTTGTAGCCCCATTGATACCGCAGCAGTTGATACCAATCCTGTTGAGGCCGGGCAGAAGCAGTAGGAGGTAGCAGATAGTACTGTTCCCAGACTGCCACTGCACGATTGAATAACAAAGGCCCCCAGCTCCTGAGGTGAGCTGGCCCAAAAGGGCCTAGCAGAGAGCTCTGCTGGCCCTCCTGTCTGACTGACAGGGCCAAGTCCTTGGTTTGGTGCCTACTGGAGGTGTTGGAATACTCCTGAGGCACGACAAGGCTCCCTGAACTGCCTGACTACCGCTGTCCCTGAGGAAGGGCTTCAGCGAGGTCCAGTCCACTACTTTGTTATTGGAACTGAACCTTCAAGAAACTTATTGGATTACCAGTCGCATAGAATTCAGGCAGTTTTAAGGGAAGGAGAGTCTCCAGGCTGACAAGGAGATCTCCACAATACAACAATCAGTGCTACACTACAGTTACAGTTGATTTCATTGGAATTTGGTGCTGACTTCAAGCCTACTTTTGAAGTCCTAAGTCAACAACCTTGTGGTCAATTCTGAGAGTTCCAGCCTTCACCACAGTGACAGGAACCTTTGACTTGACCATACACCAATCTACAACTCCAACAGACATCCCATTGTCATTGCCAAAAAGACCTACATTCTCAACCTCATTGACACGACGCCATTGACTCGAGAGTCGAGAGGTAGCATCCTGTTGCCACGAAAGAGGAAAAGCAGTCAATTCACTCGAAAGAAGAAGCGGTTACCGTGAAGGGGTCTCGGAGAACAGGAGACTTATCGGTTCGCACCCCTTTGGCAACTGAGACGAAGTCTTTTACGTCTCAAGGAATTTTGGTACTTATCATGGGAAACAGCACGATATCTCTTTTGGATCCGGGCTTATTCCTTTCTACCAAATTCAGCGAATTACGTGGCTTATTGCAGTGTACGGGGTATATCTCTTTGCAGTCGCCCGTGCAGTTTTGAGTGTCACGAGTTTCCGTCCTAAACTGGTTTCAAAGCCAAGGAATCTCCTAGAACGCGTTCCACGAAAGTCGCTCAGCCAATCAAAACGTCCGTGCAGGATTCGAGTGTCACGTGAAAATTTCGGTACTTATACGGTGTGCACTGAGCCAGTTTTGCACGACCGAAACGCTTCCGTACCGTTCCCAGTGCTTCCTGTACCGGTTCCGACTTAACGACAGCCGTTCCCCGTACCGGTTTTGTTCTGAAAGCAAGCACATCAACGGTAATCGCTTTGCGCTCACATTTTAAGGTGTTTACACCGTCGAGTCATTGAAAATCGCGATCTCCCGTACCGGTACGGATCAATCAGCACGAAGCTCTGAACTGAGTACTCGGAGCCGCTTCGAGGCAACCAAGAGGTCAATTCGCTTGGCTGAAAGTGTTACCACTGGAACCGCCATCCTTTGTTTAGTCAGTGGATAGCTCACCTTGGATTTTGGGAGCTTTTGTGGGGAGATTCATTTGTCCCATGCAGTAAGCTAGCTTCCAGTGTGGCAAAATCTCACAAATCCAAGCCAATTCACAGCACCACGGCAACACAGGAAGCTTGTTCCAGAGCTTGTACACAGACTACCTCATTCCAATACACCCAAATTGAATTTCCTAGGCCAATAGCAAGGTCCTTGGAAGCATTCCTGGGGAGATTCATTGGTGCCAAGTTGACTGGCTACCACAGTGTGAATACCACCAATATCCAAGCAGTTCCCAGCACCAAGGCAACACAGGAATCAGATCCAGTGCTCCTACACAGGCTACCTTATTCAAGTACACACAAATTGAATTTCCTAGGCCAATAGCAAGGTCCCAAGAAGTCATCTTTGTGGTTTCCAGATTACAGTTGAGTCAAGGTTTATTGTACTGCTACAACAGCTGAATTTCACTGTTTCCCAGGTACAAGCTACACTTCTTCCTGTGGCAGATGACAAGAGGCACCATGTCACTCTACATACCCACAGTGACTCCTCCACCATCACGGAAGGCCTCGAAGGCTAGAGAACCAAGGAAACAGGCTAGCCCAAGAACAACCAGCCACACTTCCCCTACAACCCGGGAGGATACGGTTCAGGCCATCATGAAGAGTCTGGATGAGCAGCACACCTCTATCCAAGCCCTTGGCACTACCATTGATAGTCTCATTGAAGAGCGACAGTGGTGCATTCATCAGCTGCTTGACAAGTCCCTTAGTCGAAACCTCGAGAAGATCAATGGAAAAGCAGCTGCCCTTAGGCAGAAAGCAGCCGCGACCAGGAGGCACAACCGGTACCACACATCTCTCAAGCACGATTGTGGGGAGTTGCCTGGAACTAGTGTCACTCCCCCTTTGGTCGGTGCCACAACCAACCACCAGTCATCTTCCAAGCCAGCTTGTGGGGAGTCGCCAGCCACTCGTCCTTTGCGAGTCACTGCGACCAACAACCAGCTGCCCAATGCCACTCCCTTGGTTGCTCCAGTGCAACCATTTGCCCTAGCTGGTGCTCGCAATGCATCACTGGGTGATGGGGAGATTACAGAGCTGCCTACTTTCAGCTCCAGTAGTCACCCAGCTGTTCTACATTGGCTTATGGGGAGGCTGGTACTGTAGCCAACAGCAACAATGATTCTAGCTGGACGATTCCACCATCCCAGGAAATCCCGCATGTAATCAACACAACGGCTGTCCCTTCCAAACAGGACCGCACGTCCTTTGGTAGACCCACGACAACCAACCCATGTTGGATGCCCCACGGTTTGCCCATCACGGCGACACACAAGGCAACCAACGCGGTTCTAGCAGAGCCACCTCTCTTTGGTACTCCCAGTGCCACCAGGCTCGTGCCAAACGAGAGGATCCCTGTGCAAGCAAGCGCACGCCCAAAGCAGGATGCTTTCAAGCAGACAGCTTCTAGGGCAGGTGCAACCACCAACCTTGGCTGGAGATCCAGGTGTCCACCATGTCGAACGACACCAAGGATTCCCAGCTTGATCCTTCCCGGACCACCCCTCTTCGGTACTCCCAGTGCCACTAGGCTTGTGCCAAATGAGAGGATCCCTTTGGCAACAATGCCACCCAGTCGACCATCCCTTTGTCGACAACCACCACCACTGTCTGACAGCAGCAACAATGTCACACCACAGGATGAGTCCAAGGTTCGAACCACCTTCCAGGCTTGTGCCGAATGAGAGGATCCCTTTGGCAGCAATGCCATCCAGTCGACCAATGGCTGACAGCAGCAACACAGCCACACTACAGGATGAGCCCGAGGTCCCAAGTACCAAGGTCTCAGTCTCCTCTGCCTCCAAGGCAATGGGGAGTTCACCAGTGTTTGGCATGTGGTTCCATCATGTGTTTGCTTCCATGATGGCCCATAGGATTGGAGCCCTCCAGTCTGTGCTGCTAGCACCGTCCCTGGATTTTCAGACGGGCAACGTCCCTGTCTGGTACAGCCCATCCATCCCATCCGTCAAGGGACATGATTGCGGGGCAAGAAGGACGCTCCACTGAGAGCTTGCCGCCGCTGAATTCGGCCTGTGGCAAAGCCACGAATATTTGTCTACATATGAAGAAAACAAACAACAGCTATGATAGCAACCAGCACCGCCGGCACCTACCGAGTCTGGCCATGCTGATGAGCACGCAATCCCTTTGCGCCTACCTTTGGTCCAGCAACCGACCAACCATGCAAGTCCCTCCACTTGTGAGATCTCCAATCTCACCTTGTGTTCCACTAGCAGCCGATGCTGAGTGGCCCATGAATGTTCCGTTCATGGGGAGAGTATGTATTGTAGTTAGTTAGTAACTAATCGTATATCGTGGCATTCCCATGAGAGCGGATCCATACGCACTCGTGGGGAGCGATAACGTTTAGGAGCGAGAGCTCTGGATCCCGTCAGAGATAGCTCCAACAGCTATGCTGGCCTACAGCTCCAGCACCCGCAGCTGGCTTATCTCCAGCCAAAGCAGCAAGAAAGGATCGTCCTTTCCACCATAGTTAAGAAAATAGTACGAAAGATTGAGACCGATCCTGATTAGCTTGTAGCCCCATTGATACCGCAGCAGTTGATACCAATCCTGTTGAGGCCGGGCAGAAGCAGTAGGAGGTAGCAGATAGTACTGTTCCCAGACTGCCACTGCACGATTGAATAACGAAGGCCCCCAGCTCCTGAGGTGAGCTGGCCCAAAAGGGCCCAGCAGAGAGCTCTGCTGGCCCTCCTGTCTGACTGACAGGGCCAAGTCCTTGGTTTGGTGCCTACTGGAGGTGTTGGAATACTCCTGAGGCACGACAAGGCTCCCTGAACTGCCTGACTACCGCTGTCCCTGAGGAAGGGCTTCAGCGAGGTCCAGTCCACTACTTTGTTATTGGAACTGAACCTTCAAGAAACTTATTGTTGAGGGCCTTCAAATGGTCAATGACTTCATCTCCACAAGGTGGAATGGCAACATCTATATCCACTTGGGGCTGAGGGGATGGACCAATATGGTCCTCAACATCACTCATCAATCCTGGATCCAAACCAATTGGTTCTGAACTGCCTTGGGACTGTGCTATAGAACCAGTCGTCCCTTCCACACCTTGTCTCATGGGCAGTAAACCATTAGGATGGTGATCCAATGAAGAGGATGCATTGGAAGGAATAGGACTGATCCCTCCAATACCCATGAGTCCAAGTTGCTTGTTGGTTTGGTCCATCAATGTGTGGACCAAGCCATGGATGGAGACACTGGACTGGTTGATGTCCTGTTGTTGTTGGGATAGCCTGGCTCAAAAGCAGTCTGGCGTTCCTTGGTCTCCTCCTTCTGTTGTTGCAATGCTTCCACCAGTTGTGCAAGCTGTTGGCTGATCATGGTGGTATCATGGTTGGCAAGGTTGGAGGATGCAGTAGATGATTCACTGGGTTGATAGGATGGTGGGGGGACCACAGGTAGCCGGTGTACTGAGGGTGGATCCACTGGTGACTTGACAGGAGTGGATGGTGGTGGTTCAGTGCTACCTGGTGGTGTTGCCGGTGTTGGTGGTGTTGGTATGGGTGGTGTAGTTGTTGCCGGCGGTGTTGCCATATCCTGTGGCGGTGTCTGTTGCTGTTGCTGCTGTTGCTGCTGCTGCTGCTGCTGCTGTTGCTGTTGGCGCTGCTGCTGCTGCTTCTTCCTCCTCTGGCTTCTGCTGGTACCCATGATGTCTGCTGTTGTGCTGGCTGAGTGTGGTGTAGAGGTGTTGTTGAAGATCTGTCACGAGAGAAACCCAATTGGAGAGTTAAGAACTTGTTCTTGTTGGTAGATGACCAATTGAAGGCTCCTTGACACACTAGCAACCTCGAAAGGCTGGTTAATAGTGCGAAAGGTGCTCTCGTGTTGCTCCGAGTTACTCAATACGAACAAGCCTTGGATCCACACGGAACTTCGCGAATCGACACGTATGTATCTTCGAGTTCAGAATTCCAAGGAAAATGTGAGGTCGCGAACGATTACAAAGCTCAGCCTGCTTTCGGAATGGAGGTACGGTACCGGTTTTGTGAGTACCGTGTGAGTACCAGTTCACCGCAGTATCCTCCAGAGGCACGACTGGGGATTTCTCCGTGAAGAAAAGTCGACAATGATGTGCCTGTTGCCTTCCGCTCGCGGCCGCCGTAACCAAGCCGATTAACAAGAAACTGGCTGGTGTATCTTCTCAAGCACCCTCAGGTTAGTAGGTGGACCTATGGATACTTCTTCGAACCGACCAGGGGATGCGTCGCCACTCGTCGCGTGATTCCTGCGTCGCGATTTTCTTGTTGGTGGGTAGCTCTTCCTGCCTTCGAGTCAACGGTCGCTTGTACGTCTGTTAACCAAGGAACTGGCTGGTCTATCTTGTAGAGCGTCCTTTGGTTAGCCAATGGACCACTGGATACCTCTTCAATCCGTCACAAATCCAGTTTTCGGTCGTTCGCCGTGTCAACAGGTCGCGATCGGCCGATCCTTCTTCCTCTCTTATTCCTCCTCGATTTCCACACTGTAGCCACTGCGACAATGTTAATCCGATGAGATCTAGTCATGGTAGATGCACAAAAGGAGCTGTGGATGGAGAACTCTGCTTGGTGGAGATCCTCCTTCCACTGGCACTGGGGATGTTGCCAGCCACAAAGCTGGCTGTCACTGTTATTCAATCTCCACAGCAATGATTGAACAACTTACTCTTTGCCTTGGCACAATCCACACAGGAAGGCTTCAACTGTGGGGAAACTAGTGCTACTGAGGCTGTATCTGGTCAACTATTCTTTCATTACTTCTTCTTCTTAAAACTATGCTAAAATCAACTGAACACAAAATCCTCGACAGCACTCAGCCATGCAGCTTTGGCTCTCTTGCATCTTATTTGGCTGGTACTGATAAGCTAACTTTCTATATTGGTCTTGGCTGAAGAACTGCATCATCCTTGGGGATATAGAGTTCCTCAGCTACTTCTGTATTGCCAGATGGCTGCACTGCTGACCCTACTGTTGGAGTATACAGATGTCACAGTGATTCTTCCATCTGGCTAAACCAGCACAGCTGCTTCGCACCACTATGGGACCTCACGTGGATTTCTACTCATCGCATCCAGCTCGTCCGAATCGAGGAGCTCTGACACATCCCATCAGTCCCGCACTGGAAATGCATCCAACTCCTTCGCTGCTCTTCAAGACTCTGATGACGAGCAGGATTTTCATCAGGCCGGAACACGCTAAGCCATCGTGGTCCACAGGCCTCTTCACAACCGGCTATTGCCATACCTTCCGGGGTACACTGTCACGCCACTCCTTCGGCAGTACCTCCTGATGCAGATGACAACACTCGTTCTCTCTACCGATACACCGTGCAGACTACTGTAGTTCGGCATAAGAACGATCGTGGTTCCCTTGTTGATAGGGGAGCCAACGGCGGGATCCTTGGTAAGGATGCTCGCGTCACGGTTACACATCAACGGCAGGTTGATGTCACCGGCATTGACAACCCCGAGATGAATGGTCTAAAGATCGTTGACGGCGTTGGTAAAGTCACCTCCCATCATGGTCCCATCATCATTGTGCTACGCCAGTATGCCTATCATGGTATAAACCGTACCATCCATGCATCTGGCCAGATTGAGTACTACAAGAACCAAGTAGATGATCGATCCCTCCTATGCATTAACCATGCGGACTTTCTCGAAGCCTACAAGATTGTCTCCAACCTCAACCAACCGTGCATCCTTGCAGAATCGGTCTATTCTGCATTTGATACCGACACCGTCCCGTCTAAGGAACACATCATCATTCCTGCAACCGAGTCCACTCCTAAACCACCAGACTATCAAAAGTACAGCCCATTCTTTCTCCATGTCCCCGTTGAGAAGATTCGTTGTACATTTGAACGGACTACCCAACACGCATCCAATATCCAAGCCGGCCACCACATCAAGCAGACCATCAAGTCACCTTTCCCGGCCCATAATGTATGGCGACGCAACGAACCCGTTGCTACGGATACTATCTTTGCAGACACACCCGCCATTTGCACCGGAGGTCAAATGATGGCACAGATCTTTATTGGACGTAAATCACTTGTCATCAATGTGTTCGGTATGTCTTCCACTGCGGATTTTGTCAACACCCTTGAGGATGTCATACGAACAAGGGGAGCAATGGACAAGCTCATATCGGACGGACACTCAGCACAAACTTCTGTGCGAGTAAAGGAGATCCTTCGTGCACTATGCATCGACGATCGGCAATCTGAACCCCACTACCAGCATCAAAACTTCGCAGAACACAGATGGAAGCATCTCAAATGCAACCACAATTGGTTCATGAACTGGCGAAACGTTGATCCCGAGGCTTGGTTACTGTGTATGCAATGGATAGGTGATGTTATGAACCATACAGCGGAGAAATCAACTGGATGGAGACCACCGCTTGAAGTTCTCACCGGACAAACCGTGGACATCAGCATTCTGCTCGTATTCCTGTTCTGGGATGTTGTTTATGTTCCGCGATACAAGGACCAAGGGTATAATGCCCAACCTGGACACGACAAGTCTTCAGAGATTCGTGCACGTTTCGTTGGGTTTGCCTGGAATGTTGGACACCAACTCACCTTCAAGATCCTCACATATGATACCAAACAGATCATATGTCGGTCCAGAGTCAGACTCGCAAAAGAAGGGATCAACAACCTCAAGCTCGACGTCGAGTCAGGAGCAGTTCCAGAGCGCATATACCTTAGGTCCAAAAGAGACGAAGAAGGCGATGATGCTAGACTGCCCACTATCGACATGAACCAAAGCCCTTTTGACCTTCCAGACGATGGTGAAGAAGGGGAGATAGGGGAGAACACTCCAGAAGAACCTACTCCAATGGATGAACCACCTCTCAGGGAAATGCCCCAAGTAGAGACAGTCAACGACGATGACGACAACGTTGCCTTCAGAAAGACGAGCTCGAGAAAGGATCATCTAGTACAGAGGAACCATTCATCTTCAACAAACGACAAATGAAGACTGACAATCCCACCGAATCAGGACTACCTCCTGAACAGATGATAGAAAGAACATTTCTTATGCCACCTGCAGAAGACGGAACTCGAGTAAGAGCCAAGATCCTTGAATGAGTCAAACACCACAAGGAGAAGGTTCAGCAACATCCCGATATGATCAAGTTCAAATGCAGAGTCAATGACGAATACGAGGAGATTGTAGCCTACAACAACATCGTGGACTACATTGAACTAGACCAGACTCGGGATGGCACTTGGAAGTTCCGCAAGATCTTGGATCACCAAGGTCCCATCAAGTCATCTGATAAGGAGTGATACAAAGGGTCACGGTACAACGTACAAGTTGAATGGGAAACTGGGGAGATCACTTGGGAACCTCTCACCACCAAAGACCAGATGGGAGTACATGAGTCTGATCCAGTCATGGTCGCCATCTATGCTGAAGAATACGGTCTACTAGACACAGGATGGAATTTACCTGGACTCAAGAAGATCGCAAAGACTCAAAAGCGACTCGTACGAGAGGCTAACCAAGCAAAGCTTCATTCCTTCAGGACCAAGCCCGTATTCATGTACAGATTAATTCCAAGTTCCACGCAACCATGACCAAGCCGCGCGCAATGGAGACAAATGGAGAGATGCCGAGATGACTGAACTCAACCAGATTGATGAGTACGAGACCTTCGTCAACAAAGGAAAGGGACATAACCCTGGACCAGATCGGAAGAAGATTCGGGTACACATGGTATATGCAGTCAAGCATGATGGATGACACAAAGCACAGCTAGTTGCTGGAGGACACCTCACTGACACACCAGTAGACTCTGTCTATTCCAGTGTGGTTTCACACTTCTCGCAGAACTCAACGATTGTGAGGTATGGGCAACAGACATAGGGAACGCCTACTTGGAATCGTTTACGAAAGAGAAGGTGTACAATATTGTCGGACCCGAGTTTGGAGAGCGAGAAGGATGCACCCTCATCATCAGCCGTGCCTTGTACGGACTCAAGTCATCTGGATTACAATGGCACGAACGATTCGCAGATGTTCTCCGTTCGATGGGATTCTTCCCATCAAAGGCCGAATCAGATATCTGGATGCAAGACAAAGGGAACTGCTATGAATACATTGCTGTATATGTGGATGACCTCCTCATTGTCAGCAAAGAAGCATTCAAGATCATCACGACATTGGAAGGGGAGCACAAGTTCAAACTCAAGGGAACCGGTGCCATCAGCTTTCATCTAGGATGTGACTTCTTCCGTGACGAGAACGGGGTACTAAGCTACGCACCACGGAAATACATTGAGAAAGTACTCAGCAACTATCAAAGGATTTTCGGACACATGCCGAAACAGGCCTCGTCTCCACTCATCAAAGGAGACCACCCAGAAACTGACACGACAGAATTGCTCGATATGGACACACAGAAGATATAGCAGTCTCTCATTGGTAGTCTACAGTGGGCAATTCAAATCGGAAGATTCGATATTGCCACGGCCACCATGACAATGTCCAGATTCTGAGCGGCGCCAAGAATGGGTCACCTGGAATGAGTAAAGAGAATCTGTGGATACCTTTCAAAGATTCGACACGGCATCATCCGTATTCGAAAGGAAGAACCAGATTACTCAGCGATTCCCAAGAAGGAATACGAATGGGAATACTCGTGCTGCCATGGTGC